CCCCAAAACCCCAAAACCCCAAAACCCCAAAACCCCAAGAGGGGGTAATATTTTTGAATTCAATTTAACTCTAAATTTAAGAATTAGACCCTTCTATTCCCCAATATTGTGCTCTAACAAGTGAATTTGTAAGAGCCCGGCAATCTTCTAATTCCATTTCTTTTGTTAACTTGACTATTGCTTTCAGTCCATTAACTGCAACCAGATGATATACAACAGATTCAATCCAATAAGGAAGTTTAGTAAATTTCTCAATGCCATCATCATCAGCTTGATCTAAGATCTCTGCTACACAGACAAGACAAGCTTTTGGATTATATGTTTCTGAGTAGATATCCAGAAGTCTGTACCAAGTATATAGAGAGAAACCTCTTTCAATAGCATTTCTGTATGCCTTTTCAGCTAATCTTTTCCTAGAAATTCTTTCTGCAAGTTTTCCTCTATGAACCCAGACAATACCGTTATAGTTAAAAGCATCTGGAGCTTGCTCCTCAGCCTTCTTTTTCTCTTCATTTTCCCAAGTAATCAATAAGTTTAGATCTTCATATAGCATCAGGAATAATTTGTCTATTTTAGTAGCAAGTCTCTTTTTACGTCTTTCTTTAATGACTTCTTCTTTACTAATATTAACTTCCTCTTCTTCTCCCTCACCTTCTGCTTCAGATGGAAGAGATGCAAAAGTGACTGGGGCATCTTCTACATTAGCAGTATTTAAGATTTCATTATTTGCTCTAGTCCTAGTCTTTCTTCTATCTCCAGCTGCATCTATAGGTTCTGTTTGTTTGGTTTCTTCTACATTCTCTTCTTCAATAATTTGTCCATGAATTTCATGTTTGGCTTCTTCTTCATCATCTTCATCTTCATATTTATTCTTCTCTTTTAGGAACATATTGGCACTCTTTTGAATAGCATAAAACGACTCATTAACTCCCTTTGGAGCAGAAGTCCCTTGCTTTGTATAATCAGCATTGAGATAAGGATTTTCCCAGCCATCAGCTTCATCTCCTTCAGAGAGGAAGGTTTCTCCTTTAAGTTTCAGGAGCTGTTCCCAGCTAATTTCTTTTTCAATTTTGACAAGGAGATCGTATGCCTTCATGTCTCAAGAGTTTAGCTTACGGTTATTCGCCTTTTCTAAGCCTTGAAGTACCTTGGCTTCATAATCTGCTGGGACATTAGAGATTTTACTGTTTTCGGTAAATTTGTAATCTGGATTCTCTGGCTTTACCATCATTTCAGGGTATATATCTGTAGAATTTTGAGTCTTTGGATTAGTCCTAGCATACTTGGTTAGGTCAGGAAGAACAAGCTCATCGTTTATATCTTCATATGAAGGTGCAACATCAATAGCAATCAATGCATTTTTAAATTTTCTCTCATGAAAGTAAGATTCTGCTAAAACTAGCCAACATTCAAAGCTTTCAGGGCAAAGGTCAACAAGAATTTTTGATATCTTTAGAGCAAACTCATAATACTCATATTTTAGGAATGCTTGGGCCTGCTTAAGAAGAAGAGAAGCAAGCATTGGAAATTCCTTAATCTTATGAGCTAGAAGTGTAATTGCTTCTTTAAGCTTATCAACAGTGAATAAAGCATCTCAAATCATGCTGATTAAAAGTGGATCTTTTTCTGCAAAAGGGCTGATGAAATCGATACACTCTGTGATTCTCCTTTTCGATATTAGATATTCTGCAATTTTATGAAGAAGCATTGATGATCCATCTTTGACTCTGTCCATTACATCTCCAAATTTATTTTCCATAGCCATTTTTATACAAATTTGTTGCAACAACAAGAAAATCTTGAAAGAGTTCTTTAGTGTCTAACTCTGCTACAATCTTTATATGATCAGATCTCTTGGGCTCAATTGAGCGAAGAATAGAGCTAACGAATACAAAGTTCCATTGAGGTTCGTGGACAGCAGTTATAGCTTGCTTTTCATTTTCTTGATTCACAGCATAAACATGAGTACCGCCAGGAATGGAAATCTCAACTCTGACATCTCTTTTTAAAACGATGTCAAAAATGCAAAAGATGGCTTTAGTGATTTTATGACTTTTTTTATACCATCCTTCAGATTCAATGTTGTTGATAAGAGTGTTAATGTAGACTGCAATACTTGCTGAAGAAGATCAATCAACTCCATAGACGTAATGGAAGCTTCCCCACTTCTGAGATGATTTCATAAAGCCTCCTTTCTGCTCCTTGATCAAATATCATCAATCAGGAGGCCCAAAGCCTTCATAATCAGGAATCTGATCAGCTCTCTCAGTAAGATGTCTATAGAGATGACTATCTGGTTCCATGAACTCTTTCAAATTTGATATCGCAAATGACATTTTTAATTTATAACTAATGAACAAGTAAATTTTAAACTTTGGTGATTCTTTTGGGGTTTTGGGGTTTTGGGGTTTTGGGGTTTTGGGG